AACGGGCCACATCCGGCCCCCGGGCCTTAGTTTGCCCATGCCTGGGTTAAACAGTTCTTTTGTTGCATGTTTACTACCCATTAAGGAAAACTAGTAACTATTGCACACATACTGTTCATATGTTCCTATGTCACTCACCTTTGCTAACACAGCGGTGACATCATAATCTGGGACATAAAAACATCAGACCAGTCTGCCTTATGCCTGGGAGCCATAATGAAGGGCAAAAAAACGAAACATAGCAAATGTAGCCTAATTCAATGTGTGGCGTACAACCAGCAAACATAAACAAAACCGTCTCCCACGTACAGTGACACGAGACGATGTCTTAGTCTCACCAACTAGTTTTAATGTGCTGAGTCAGAATACTGGAATGGTAATTAATTAATGAGAGATGGCGACATAACCACGGAACGCTGTAGGTCGAGGATATCGTAAACCAAATTTACCTGGTAAATCTGGTGCTCAAAATATCATCACAGCTGTAAGGCAACATACTGCTCCCTGATATGACACTGTTGTGTCATAATCTCTCTATCTCTGTGTATGTCTGTTCTTTTAGTTGTGAAAAAACAGATATATAAAACGGAGCATTTACCAACTGTACATCTGTTTTAGCAGAAATTCTCAATAGATAACACGTGTGGGAATGTCATACTAAACTGCCTGCAGTTCATGTATGACACACACTGTGGATTCCCAAGGCCAATGCTTGAGGTCTTTACACGGTGTTACTTGTAGCTAAGCTACAGTGACGTTCCATGTAAAGCACCGCGCTGCTGCTCAGAACTCCACAGAGGTACATGTTTGTTTGGTTTTTGAAGTGTGTTGTAATTATTCACGCTGTAATTAACAAATATATCTGTTGTGGCACCGTTCCTACGACTCCCCTGTTTCCACCAGTAATTAGAGCCTGATTACTGTGTTCTCATTTATACATGAATATTGTCCCGTTGTCTGGTGACGACAGCCACGACATTAGAGAATCTAATGTCATACACAGAGATGTTGGAGTTTACATTTCTGCATGGGAACAATCATGTAAACTATGGATACTGTACTATGTGTTGCGTTCATTGTCAACTGAGCTACAACAATGAATTACCGCAGGTTTTTATTTGCCGTCTCCTTGCTAGCTTGTAGCTACTTTTATGGCTAAAATGTAACCGTTATTTTTTTTAATATATCTTTCAGTCATGTTATTTACTTTTTGCGAGAAGCTTGATATTATTTGGCAAATTTCTATGCGCCCCAACCAGCCAAGATTGAGCTATTTGTTTGCTAGGTCTTTGTTAGCTTTTAGCATTTTTCTACTTAATATATGGCCACCGTGGTTAGTTATGGTTAGTTAGTTTCAGCTGTTTTTTTGGTATTTGTGGCAAAATGATAGCTACTTCTTGAAAAATGTTTTGTTCAAAATTCGCCCCTTTATCAATGTCCGACACAGTGGTGATCCACGTAGTGATAGACAGTTGTACCACTGCACCACTAGCCTGTGTAATAATAACAGTAATTCAGTAGCTGTAAATTAAAGTGTTATGTTATTTGTTAATGTTTACCTTTACATTTTTTCCAGGTTAGCAAAAGCTAATTTGTTACCATCCTCTCTTTTATGTTTTTTTAACTTATGCAGGGTTTTGGAAAACAAGTGGATGTGTCATATATTGCCAAGCATTACAACATGAGTAAAAGCAAAGTGGACAACCAGTTCTACAGTGTGGAAGTGGGAGACTCCACCTTCACAGTTTTAAAACGCTACCAAAACTTAAAGCCCATTGGTTCTGGAGCTCAGGGAATCGTCTGGTAAGTACATGGAGTTGTGTGTCCCATTTAAATGTTCTTAATGTGTGTTATTATCTAATCTTGCTGTTCAAACTGCAGTTAACTGAGGTTTTAACAAGGTGTTTTTGAGTTTTTTCGTAGAGAATCACTACAAAAGCTGTATTATTTAATTACAGATTAACCATATAATTGTCCATTGTTAATACTGTTGGTGAATTGGCCACATTTACGTTGTCCAAAAAAACCCTGGTTAAAGAACAATCATAAACTTTGAAGGCACAGCCGGTAGCCATGTGACTCGTCTGTGAAAAAGACGTGAAAAAAAAAACTCATCTCAACATTAAAGATTCAAAAAGGCTACGAATTCTCCAAACAATTTACTGAGATTAAATCTTGCTCGAGTGCAAGCTCGTCCAACAAGGAAGTCATAGATCTTAAATGTTAATGGTTTCAGACTGAACATGTTTTTGGTTTGAAAGTTTGCAATTGTAATGTAACCCAGAAAAACTCCAGTTTAGTTTATATATATATATATATATATATATATATATTCAGGGTATATATTTTATTAAACAGATTATTTTCTACCAAATCAAAAAGTGACCACGTTGGCCTTTGGAAAGGAATGTAATTGTTGCTGCCTCTGCATTGAACTTTTGAAATGTCAATAGTCAGGCAGAAAAAAATGCTTCTTTCAACCAGAAAAAAAAAACAAAAAACAGACCAATTTCATCAAATTGGTGCCTTAAAGATTGTAATACTAATACTCTGTCTAAAGCCACAGGTTGATGACATGTTCGTAGTTCAGACCATAGATCTGTGGGCCATAACAGTCTAACAAAATGGGGACTTCAATGAATCCTTAATCCAGATTGCAGTAAGAGATGGTATTCATTGTAATTCATCTCATGCCTGCCTGTGTCTGAATGCGGGGGAACTGCCAAGACTCCACTTAGAGGAATGCACTCCACACTCCTCGTTTTACGCATCTATAAGTTCTATTCAATTCTATTTCTATTCTATTCTATTTAATGCTGGAGCGCTAGACCGGGATCAGACATGTTTCATAAGGAGTTCTTAAAAAGTGTGCTTTTTCAAACCAACATAGCCATTTTTGGAAATTAAATAAGTTTTAAACATGATAACAAATGGTCACATAGTTTTGTTTATCAGAAATTTGTAAAATGTTGGGAATTTTTTGGCAACTCTTTTCTCTTTCATAAATAAAAAGATATTTTATTCTTAACATTTTGAAAAGATCAGAACACTTGAGGCAGTTTATCTTCCTGTATCTTCTGTAGCAAATGTGATACATGTGGTTTTATATTGTTGACACAATAACTACTGTGCAGAACTTGGTGCTCCGTGCAAAGGAGTGTAGGTTTCCGATTTCCCAAATGTATTACTGCGAGAGTTAAAAAAAACCTTGCTAAAAATGCCACAAAATATCTAGATGATAACTCACTTGAAGAAGGCAAAAATGGGAGAAGATAGAAAGTAGCTCAGCTCTACCTGACTGGCCTTCCTGCAGTCCAGATTGATCTCCTGGTGAAAATGTTAGCTACCTCCTGACTACAGTTAGGACGAGCCTCCAGAGGCATCTCAGCAGAGATGAAGGTTTGAAAGTATTTTAGCATTTTATGACATCACCTTCACTTAACTGGAGAAATGATGACTGGCTCCCTCTAATGACAGATCAATGCTTTTATAGGGCTCCACAGTTTCCATTGCCACACACAGGAGACAGAGTATATCACAGACTATCACACTGCGACACTGTCATCGTAGAGGAATTTGTCGCTCTAAGACTAACAAATACAACAGGTTTGATATTCGTCAAGCTGGTACTTCCTTTTATTTTATTCCTATCTTCATTTACAACCAACATAAATCTGCTGAAGGAGCCCAAATCCCTGAGGTTTTTGGTGTTTTGTTGAGCCAGCAAAGAACTCACTCTGTTGTAATGACCTCTGCAATGGTTTGTGCCACTTTATGGAAAGAGAAACCATCAGTGAACATTACCCCCTCTACTTCAGTGCGTTGTACTCCGCTGGCTCTCTGCTGCGTGACTGGACACCATTGATCATTCCCTGTATTCTGCAGTACTCATTGTAGAAGAACACATTCTGTCAGAAACCAAACTGGAAACATTCATGGAATAAACACGAGTTCTTTCAGTCTTAGAATTCTATGTCAGAAACCAAACTGGAAACATTCATGCCTTTCATAAATACTAACTACTAGTAACTTTTTTACTACTTGTTCGTTATTGTGCTGTACAATGTGTTAGTTGGGCTCCAGCTTGTAACAATTTGTATACAAGATTAATCAGTTATTAATTAGCTAGTTTTCAGTATTTTCCATGTAGTAAAAATCAAATGCACCCATAAACATAAACCTCACACGTCTAATTTAAGTTTTGTTATATTAGTTTTCCTGTGGCAAAAATAAAAATAAAATCAGTTTCATTCTTTGATTGTTGT